TATAGCTGCTGTGCAGATGGGCTGTGAAGCCCCAGTGAGCTCTGTCGCACCAGGGGAAGAGCAGGTTGGTATTTGCTTGCATGGTTTTCCTCTCCAGTTGGTTCAGAGAAGGGCAAGATCTCTATGGTCCTGCGCAAATGGACACAAAGCAGATGCAAAACACTGTTCCAGCTGTTCAGTAGCATTGTACGTGTCCTTTGCTTTCTTGCTTTGAGTGGGTGTACATGACTGCCTGAGAAGCTAGGGACCTGACCCTGGCCTTTTCCTGATCCAGGGTCAGGGAAGCGATTATCCTTTATTTTCGTCTGACACCATTCCCTCTGGAACACATGGTTCTCACCAAGTTAAAGTTCAAAAACACCCCACCCCAAGCCATGAAGTGTCATACCAAGAAAAGGATTCAATAGCCAACAAAATTAATCCTGGGGTGGAAAGAGGGAGGGAGAGATTTTTGCAGACCTGTGGGTCAGAAGACCAAGCTTTTGGATATATTTCCCTACCCCTTTTCAGATCCCTGTCAAAAAGTGTCAGCAAGGCAATGGCTAGATGCTTCATGCCATGAGGGGCAGGCTCCATTTTCAGCACACACCTTTTGAAGCATTGCTTTTATCCAGACCCTCTGTCCCAACTGCTCTGTATTGTCCAGGGAGGTTCCTACTGCAGATTCTCACCCTTCTCAGTCCCATCAGTGCACACATGACCAGTTTGATTCAGTGGCAGGACTTGGCTTGAATGTTGTAAAGATGCTGAGCAATTTTCTCGTAATTACTTTTAATAATCAGTGTCAGCTGGTTTTCACAAGTTTTTTTCTACTTACACTGCTCTGTGCCAGCAGAATCTACACAAAGGAACCTAAAATCAGGATGGCTGGGTAGATAATTAATCGTGAAAAAAAGGAAAATTTGGAGGAGACAGTCAATAATTAGTGAACGGCTCCAAAGTGGTGAGTTCTATTTTTTTGCACTACCTGGGCTGAGAGGTTTTAATCGGCAGCGGGGGTGGTGGTTTTACATTTTATCCAAATGTACATGTCCTTTGCCATTAGCTGGTAGCGTCTGTTGGTGTATTTACTGGCAAAGATGGCCTTTTTTGCACCTAGGAGGGCTGCTTGACCTGGCACGCACATGTGTTTCTCTGCCTTTGCCCTGAGCACTCACTGTGTGTGTTTGTGCAAACGCTGCTGCGGCCCTGCAGCAGGCACGGCTCCGGTGTCTGCAGCCTTGTCAGACACTCCCTGTGCAGGACCCCAGATCCATTCGCAGGACTGAGAAAGGTCTGACTCAGTCTCTCTTTCTTTCTTTCTTTCTTTTTTTTTTTTTTTTTTTTTTTTTTGAGTTGGTTATTTTTAAATTTCCTTCCTCTGCTGTGCGAGGCAGCCCCCACACCTCCGCACCGCGCTGGGGGGATGCAGGCAGGCGGGTACCTCTGGGGCTGCAGGCAAGCAGGCAGGAAGGGCCGGGGAGCCGTACAGCCAGCACCCACACCCACTGCCATTAAAACTGCTCAAGCCGGCTCATCACTCTGCAGCCAGCCTGCCTCAGCTGCTTTTTATTTTACTAGAAAATGTCATGCTTTGACTCAGAGCTGGATGCTATGGGGATGAGCTTTCCACGCATCCAGCTGGTCCCAGCCTGCCATCCCCATGCCAAATGTGCAGGGTTGCCGCAGCCTGTGCTTGCAAGGCGCTTCTGTGGGACACCGTCGGTGCTCTCCATGCCTGCTTCCTCACATGTGTCTTCAGCTGTGGTAGGGAAACAGCCTTGTGTATGGCACCCTGTGCTAGATGAGCTCTCAGCACCCCAACAATGTACTTATCATCTTTGAAGACCACCGTCCTGCCTTCCTGCTGGGTAGGAAGCTGTGTCACCTTTTTCTTGGAAACAAAGCCAGAGACACTAAATTTTGATGGCAAGTTCAGGGGCACAGTGTGGCCTGTTTCCAGCAGCTCGCTCTCCTTTGCCCACAGTGCACGCCAAAGCTCCACTTTAAAATGCAGTTGGGCTAGATGCTGATTTTCCAGCCCGCAGCAATGCAGTGCTGCAGACTCCAAGTGCCTTGCTTCCCTAGGGAGCCTTGCAGAACACTCTGTCTTTTGTTCAGGTATTTCTTTTCCTGGGTGAAATCGTGCCTTTAATTTGGCTGCTGGTGGGTCTTGCCGCTCCTGCAGGAGACCAGTGGGGAGGCCTGGTGCACGGTTGTGCACTGCTGTCCTTGATCCCCCTCGTCGTGACACATTCAGCCAAGGCAGCAGGACCGCAGCACCTCTCTCACCTCTGCTGTCTTGGGGTGCAAGGACATCTCTGGAGCTCCTTCAAGTAGGGGATCTGCGATGCTCTGAGCACTTGCCCTGCTATGCCAAGCAGAAGAGTGAGGCTGGCATTTCTTTTCCCTTTCCTCTCTCACATGCAGAGAGAGGCAACTAACCCTTGGGTTAGAGCATGTTAAATATTCCTTTGGGGAGCACTGGACTGGGTACGTTATGGCCTCCCTGCCAGCCAGGAAGCCTGCTGTGTCGCTTGGTACACGCCTCGGCTCCATCCTTGGTGTTGGCTAAAGTGACGTGCCTCTAGCTTTCACTTTTGGGACATCAGAGCTGATGGAGTGGCTTCCTCAAATGGTTTTAAGTGAGGAGGTTGCTTGTCTCTTCTGGACAAAGAATATTGCTTATCTTAAAAGGGCCTTATGTTCTGGTCTCATCTCTGGCGGTGCGGCAGGGAGCATTAGCCCCATCCTGGCTGGGATGCTTCAGACTAACCTTGTAGACATCAGAGAGCTGTGGCAACTATGATGAACATGCAGAAGAATCTAAAGGCTTTGCCTAGACTCACCTACACAAGTTCTCATCCAATTTATCTGAAATGCTTTTATCTTCCTTACATCTTCTCTGTTTGGTTTTTGTGCTGGTGCTTTGTCCTGGGGGTTGTTACTGCAGGTGAATCTGTGGCAGATGATACGGCCCAGTAGACGAGCACCTACAGTGCAATGCTTATTTCCGGTGCACTGTCATGCGCCATCATTATTGTGGCTTTCTTTTATATGTAGCTCCTTATCCCCTTTACTTCCATCTTATCACCTCCATTTTGTTGGCTCACCACATTAATATAAGTTTCTCTGTGGGAAATGAGCACTGCCCACAGCTTTCTGACTGCAGTGAGGTTTCCTTCATGTTACTGAGTTTCTTCTCTTCTTCATAGCAATTTTTTCTCTTAGATATTCCAGCAAACATGCCCATAAATTATATAGTTCTTCCTTGTTAGTGACAATTAGATCTCCCTTGTGCCAAATGAATGGAGCGCTGCAGTGAGCAACCTTCTCAGGGATACGTTAATAAAGTCACGATGCACTCGCTTGTCTTCTCACAGTGAAGTTGAATGTCTTCTTGCATATGAATGGTCCTGTATTCCAGGTACACAAATATCAGTGCCCCAAATCTGCCTGTATCTTTCCGTGGCCTTGCACAGACATACATATGCTGTCTTGTGTTTTGATGTAGCCAAACTTACTGGGAATGTGCTTCTACCCTCTGGATAGAGGAGCGTAGGTTCCCTGGCAATGAGTTCAGTGGTGGTTTTCTTCCAGCGCTGTATTCACTCACACAGTGCTTTTTAAAATTGTGAAAGTTACTGTGGTTTTTTATCTCTCTAAGCAAGTAGATGGGAGCCTCCGATCAGCTGTTTGGCAGATGTTAACCAGAATCAGAGGTCCCAGCTCAAACAGCCACAGTAGGAAAATTCAATGGACAAGAAATCAATACCAACAGCTGTGAGACACAGCAATGCACAGACCTGTTTGAACCATTCAGAAAACTCACAGGAGAAAAGGTGACATTCTCCAACAGAAAAAGTAGTGATGTCTCTCTTTAAGGGTTTTTGGTTTCTTATGTTTGCTGTTGCAAACATTGATTCCTGCTTTTTACATTTTTTTACAGCTTTTTCCCCTTGCTGCTTCCTTATATTTTGCTGCTGTTTTGAAAAACTGCATTTAAGCTGAAGGGTTTTTTTCTGTATTTTTTTCTCCCCACTTTTTTCCCTGTTAAGCCAGAGAATGAGCAAGGTCGTAGAACTTCTCTAGAAAAGTTCACTCGCAGCGTGGTAAGTTCCTTTTCTTTTCCCTCCTCCCTTTCTTCAGAACTTCATTTTTAGTTGCGGGGGGGGCGGAATGTGGATGCTTGACTTTTTATTTCATCCTTTATTTTTGCAGCTAGCATCTTTGCAGCTTCTCTTTTTATACTGTAGCTCATCTAAATAGTAGCTCTAAAGAAGGGGGGGTGGGAAGCAGAATTCCATAATGCTCATTCTAGCAGAATTCCATAATGCTCATTCTAGCTTATCATCACTGCGAAAGCAAATTGATTTTTGTCTAGAATTAAATGCAAGGTTGTCTTTTTGCTGTGTTCTCACTATAGTATTTGTTGTGGCTTTTCCTTGTACAATGAAGTAGAAGAGCATGGTTCTCATAGTGCCATTTGCAACCGTATCCGTATTGTTATATAGTGCATGGTTAATGATACCATATGTATACACACATACGTATCCACCCACAGCACTGGAGTCGCTTCCTCCGCTGCCCCTGTCTGTCAGTGCTCATGTAAATAGTGATGGGCGATACCCTTTGACTCATTCATGATACCGATGGCAGAAAGGGAGCGCACTAACAGCAAGAAACACGACACTGTTCAACTTCTTAGATAAGGGGATGGTGGGATCTCAAGGCAGATGTCCTGTCCTCTCTTGTCCTTCACCAGTATCCAATCTCCAGCCAGTCCTTCCAGCTGGGGGAAGCTGGTCAGCTGTGGAGGGATGCTGCAGCACAGGGCAGCGTTGGGCACCGTCCAGGGCTGCTTCGCTCCAACCCCCAGGGCAGGACCCTAGAGCTTGGGCAAGACCCACTTGTCCCACTTGCTGTATTGGATCTGCATGTGCAGTAGATTTCCTAGAGAAAGGGAAGAGCAGGGAGAGGGGACAGGATCAGAGGCAGATGCTGCAAGTGGGGTGGAGGAGCAGGGATACTGGGCAGCAGCGGGTGGGACAGGCTGTGTGCGTGAGGTGACACCGAGCAAGCAGGGGGCTAGAGCTGAAGATGCAGTGGCTGGGCCAGTGGGGAATGACTCTTGTGTTGCTCACTATCAAGTACACTTTGACTTGGTATGTCATGTGGTTTTGGCATACTGCTATCGTCTTCATCTATCGCCCATCATCAGTTGTGAGGTGATACTGGGACAGCAGAGAGTCATCGAGTGATTGATTCCCATAGAAGCTACTGTACAGGACAATATTTCATAGGAAGTTCATAGACCATGTTATGGCTTTGTAACAGCTTTATAATGAAGGAATTGTACTATGCGTATACACAGTACTTATGCTTGCATTTGTGTGTATGTATGTATAGTTATATATACACTATATACATACACATGGCATATAAATATAAAACATTTGTATGTACTATACATACAGACAGCAAAGGGGAAACTGCACAGGTAAGTGTGAGCTGTTGTAAAGCAAATAAGCCTGGAGGGGTTCTTTCTGATGCTGCCACGCTACTGCACAAGCAAACCCAAATATAACACGCAGAGCTTTGTAGTATATCCACTGGCAGACTTCCTGGGGAATGTATTTATATAGCTAATGCATATGCACACATTTAAAATATGTTGATACAAAATATATCACCATGCCCATCTGCATATTTACTACTTTCTAAGAGTCTGCCAAAAGAGGAATAGGCAAGTTTGTTTTTTTTTTTTAAACAAACTATGCAGAAATATTTACACCGAGTGGTAAATTCTTCTCCCAGATTTGCCAAATACATAGAAAGAGTAACTCTCACTTTACTAGACTGGCTGGGTTTATAGTAACACGGCCAAGGACGGATTTTTCTCTTGTATTTGATCTGAAGGGTAACTTGACAAGCTCAGTTTGGGGTGGTAGAATTATAAAGCAAGTACCTGTAGAGAAAATTGTCGTAGATTGGTTGGCACTTGAGTTCATTTTTGTCTTACTGGCTAGTACTAGCTAGTTACTAGCATACTGTAAACATTTTCTTTCATTTTTCTTAATACAGATACAAAATATCATCCTTCGATGGCATGGTAGCTACCAGAACTAGGAAGGGTCTGAATGTTTTATACTTTGCACTATGGCAGTTTGTCACTACCATCAGATGAGAAAATAGTCACTATGTTGACATGTCATAATGTCCTCGGTGGGCAGCATTACCAAAGCGGTACCTTTATGGCCTACTCAGGGGACTAAATTAAGACGAAGCTAATTCTGCATGCTCTAGTTCTCCAAAATGCACTGCAGTTCCCCGACTGTGTAGGAGTGGAGCAATACAGCGGCCCTTGTTCCCAGAGCTCCACTATGCTTTAGTGATTGCTCATTACAGGATCACATATTCCAGCTGACCCTGCAGAGGCATGCTGAAGTTAAGCATATACTTAAGGTCTGGCTGAAACAGAGCCCCAGTGCTTGTCTTTCTTCAGAAGGGGGAGCCTGAGCCTATTTTGCAAACAGAGTGATACGAGGTCACATTTCCAGTGATGGCTGTAAAAGGAACATCCAAAACAACCAGGGCTAGAAGTTTATTTGCCTTCAGGAGCCACGTCTGAGATGAAGTAGCG